CCCCCCCCCCCCCCCCCCCCCCTGTGCTTCCCTTTCTTCTGCCTCTGGAACCGTCTGTGCTGTCCTGTTAAGGAAGTGGTACGATCGCGTGAACTTCGTTTCTAACGGATGACACGGGCACACACACGCAGATGTGCCTGTGTAAGTATGGCCCCGGTGTTTAGATACACACAGCCACATACATACATATCACACGAACTTAGCATTGCGATGCCATTGGACCATTGGAAAGGAAATGCAAAAGCTGACACTGGATCCAAGTGAACCGAATCAGACTGTTGAGTCTTTCTCAGTCAGGCGGCTTGCTTGACTGCCGACGGGCAAGGGTTTCAGCCCTCGGAGAACTGAGCCGAACCCTCCCACTGGGTGACAAGCATGTTCTGTTGCTACTGGTGAGGTCCGGTATTTGCATCCAAGTGCCTGTCTCTTCCCTTTGTTGCAACCAACTCGCTGTGATGAACAGGAGGTGAACATGGAGGCAGGTGGATGCTCGAGTTGCAGCCATGGGAGGCCGACAATGGTTTCTGCATTCATTGTACGAGCAGGATGCGCAAGCAGACGTCACGAATGCCAACGCAATCGTTCAGTACAATCTTTGTGAGAACGAGAAAGCTGGGCTCTCAGTCCACGATGCTGCAGCCACAAGTTGTTGAAAGAGAAGATGGCCCGAAAGCTCCATGCATCGCAACCAATATACGAAAGTTGAAGCGGGCAGTGACGGGCAATAACTGTATCGGCTGAGGACTTCGTCCAGAATACCTCCGGCTGCCTCCTTCGAGCTTTGCGAGAGCTGCAGCGAGTCGACGAGATCCTTCAGGTGCCCAATGGCCTTTTCATGGTGTTTTGCTGTCTGTAGTCTTGTGCCGCAGGGATGCTCAGCTTTTTGGGCCAATATGGACGGCACTGTACAGAAGCTTGCCCAGATGAAGGACCAACATCCGCTCGAAGTTGCCGAATCTGACAGCCTGTGCGTGATGCCACACCGCAGGAGCACACTGAATGCCTCGTCAATTATGCGAACAGCAGCAGGCTCTTGAAGGCGCTTTGTGGAACCGGTGTTTCGCCAATGCCAATATGCTAAGCCTCGTTTTGTGCATTGTTCCCCTTGTTCTTGCCATGCCTGCTGAAAGGAGAGATTCGATCAGCGACTTGCAGAATACACGACCTTCTGGACATCCCTCGAACGACTATGCAGGTCCTTCTTCAGCTGCTGTGTCCGACTTGCAATCTTGCAAGAATCCAAGAGGCAATACTGCATAGACTACCAGACGTTTTGCAAAAAGATGCAAGACACCATTCGAGACGTGCGGGTACCCGGTGGGATGCGGGCAAGATCAATTCACTCGCCGCCAACAGTGTAATTTGCCTAGGTCTCCGATACTGCTGATGTCTATGACACAGCTCAGAGCGTTCGGCACGCGGCTCAAGTAAAGATGGGATGCAGCCTTGCAGCGTAAGCATAAACAGTCGGGATGCGTTGTTTTCGGACCATCTCGTTGAAAGGATGGGCGTGGCTAACGGCTACCGAGAAAAGGAGATGAGGACATCAGCCATCCCAAGCATTGCACAGTACTACCTGCTCGCACATTCTCTGCAGGAGAGGCGGCTATGTTGTGCAATGACAGGATCAATATTTGCATGTGTTCAGCAGCTCCGTCTACCAGAGTTTTCCAACGGCTTCTCGTACCAATGAGAGTACGGTAAAGCTTGCCGTCCTGGCAGATCGTCGTGCGCAAACGTTGCCACACTTGTGCTTATCCTGGGAGCATCGTGGAGACTACGCATAGACGAGATTCGATATCACCCAGTAAAAGCTGCATCGCGCGCAAACAGATTCGCTCAACCTTCGTAGGGGAGCACTGGAACAGCAGTGAGGGAAGTGCCCGGACAACGTGTAATGAAGCAACGCAGTTGAGGACAGATTCCAAGGTTCCAACCTGCAGAAGGCAGATGCATGCATGCACTCCCATCGATGCCGAGCGCCATTGCACAACCAAGCGGCGCTAGTTGCCACAATTTGGCAGGCTGACTTGCTCTGGTTGTCCACTCCTAGAGTACCCTGGATCCTGCCAGAAAAAAGCTTGCAGTCCCTCTGCCTGCCGGCTGATTTCTTTCTCGTGTGACAGGGCTCAAGTGTTGATGGATAGCCAACGGAACACACTCCAGTGTCTCCGGCTCGAGCAGCTTGCAGCGTTGTCGGAGATTTATGTCAGTCCTTTCTGGCAGATGGCCTCTGCACAGTTGAGGCTTCTAGAATTCTAGAAGAGACAGGTGCTTTGTAGCTTAACTCACATTTGCTTTGAGGTGGTTCCTCGTGGCCAGCCTGCGCAGCACTTAGCGCAAGCGAGCTTGGTGAAACAACCCAGCAGCTGGATCCTCGTAGGCACATTGTGGCGACAGCCGTGGCAGTGGAGTCGCAGGCTGTTGTCGTCTTGGCATGTTCTAGCCATAAATTCCGATCAAATGCTCAACAGAAGTGGCAACTTCGTGGAAGGCAGTGCAAGTGCAGCCCGGAGGTGTCCGCTTCTCATCTGCAAGACATGCATTCTGTTCTGCAGAGCTTTCTTTCGATAAGGCTGTGCTTCTGCGGACAGAGAGGAGCGAGACGAACCAGCCCATAGCCACCTGCAAAGGCCAGTTTGCAGGACTGCTGGGACGTTGTCGGCACCCTCCTGCACTCCTGTAGGGCCAGCGGTGTCTGAAGGCCTTCTTTACACAGCCCTGCCTTAGGACACTGCGAGTCCTTTCTGAAAGATGAATCTCGTTGTCGCTCGGCCTATGCCTCCTGGCCTTTCGATTGGACTCTTGAACGACTTGCCCGACCGTGAGTGAAGACCCTGTCCAGGCCCACTGCGAGGCCAAGACTTGCCTGCAGTGCGCCTTTGCTGAAGGCAGATGCGAAGGACCGGGCTTCGCAAGCAGCTCGGCATGAAGTTCATACTTGCCATGCGAGTGAGTCTTGTCGTTTACATTTGAGGTACATGCTACGCGCCTGAAGGTGCCTAGTAAGCACAGACGAACACTGCCACAATGTGCTCGCTCCGGTGCGTCGCGGAAACAACGAGTATGCCAGCTTGACTTCCTGCAGTTTATTTTCTGCTACCAATACAGGAGCAGGGCTAGGATCCAGGCGGCATGCCATGTTGCAGAGAAATCCGCTCCGTTTGCTGGTGGCTGGCTGGCTGCACAGGAAGGATACCATGCTCAGCAAAGGCACCAACACAGTAACAGCCCTCGGGCAGTAAAAACTATGCTCATCGGACAACTCCCATGCTCCGGAATCCCGGGTAGGTTACCGTAGGTTGCAAACCCCGACATCCGGGAGCACCCCTTCCTGCGGATATCCGGTTTGCCGGCAGGATGTGTTTGTAAGGGTTCAGGATCGGAATGCATGGTCAAAGGCTGTCCCTTGCGCAGTTTAGACGCTACCCTTACCGTTCTCTTGTGTTTTTTTCCAGCAAGCCTTGGGGTACCTACACTACCCCGCGAATGGCACCTTCTTCATATGGCTTGGATGCGCCGGGAGCACTTCCTTTGCAGCCCGTTCAGACCGGTGCCATGGTATCGAAGTTATTTCGCAGAACTTCGGAAGTCGGCGACATGCGCTGCTTGCAAGCAGCATGTCATGCTCTAGTAGCATGATGCACTGCAGGCTTCTTCTCCTTCGATCCGGAAGTCTGGGCCCTAGCAGTCAGTTCCGACCAAGGGGCAGACAAGCCCCGGGTGCACGTGGAAGATGTGCACAACATCGGGTTGAGTCTGGTGTTTCTTGATGTGCAGACGCACAGGGCCTGAGCGCTAGGAAACCGCTCGGCATGTGACCTGGTGCTGAGAAGCTGCTATGCGCTGGCGGCGGTCCCTGGTACGACTGCAGTTTCCTCCTCAAGCATCCGGCGCTTATGTCGAACAGGCTTGCAATGCATGTTTCACAGAGTGCGAGAAGCGAGATGTGGCACTCCGATGGAACACTAAGGGCTGAACAAGTGGGCATGATTCTTAGCTGGTGTGGCCTGATGTTGAACTCGCCACTCACATACAGACACACACACACACAACTCGCTGTCCAAGGGCGACCACGTTGTCGCATGTGAAAAGTGGTGTGGCATGCCGCCCCTCATACCACTCTTCTGGCTGAAGTCAGCACGGTCCTCAGTTCTTCATGTCTGCAACACCTCCACTACTGCTCGGCTGGTGGAACCTTCCTCTCCTGCCGAGATGTTTACTGACTGCAAGTTCACCAACGCGCATCCAGATGACGACGGCAACTTGGTTCTTATAGCCCGGTCGACACTTTTTTCAGCCCCGCCCCTAGATGGCGGATTGCTGGTGGCCAGGCTTCTTCAAGTTGCCATTGCCCGCTGCCCAGCACCAGTGGATCGAGCATGTCCGGTTGTAGCCAACTGCGACCCAGTCCCGACATTGGTGGCCTGATCAAAGCGAAGATGGCGCTCCTGAGCCCTCTGAGCGTCACTGGCTCGCTTCCCATGGCCTCCGAGAGCCTTTGACCCGATTCCTTCAGAGCTTGCATTTCATTTGACACGGAACCCAGCTGAGCTGCCAGAATTCGAGCCTTGGCGGGGCTGGCCCATTCGAGAGGTGCACGTGAGGGGGTGTGATTTAAGTGTGAAGGTGGAGCGTCTCTCTCCGTCTGTGACTTCATCGCACGTTGCTGCCACTGTTTTGAGGAGGATCCCATGAAGTTTGACCCAAACGGAGGGTTGCCGGATGATTCCACCAGGGAAATCACGCCGGAGACCCAAGTCTTAGCAACATCGCGGATAGGATGTCAAGATAGATCCGTGAGAGTCCGTGATCCTTTGATCAGGAAAATTTGTTGTCAAAAGCCGACGAAAAAGTGCCTCACCGCTGGCTCCCGAGCTTCGCCGAGCTCGAACCATGCAATGTAGACGCCGCGCAGAAGGGGGAGAAATGTGGTTTCAAGCCTCGCCTCTCCTGTCAGATCGGCGAACCCACGGTCGTCGTGAGGGCGCTACCTGCTGCGGTCGCAACACTGTTTGCAGATGAAGGCGACCACGTTTGCAAGTTCGCAGCGTGTGGCGAACCTTGCACAGCCTGGCCCGCAGGTCTCCTCACGGCAGGTGTCCCAGTGGAAGCCTTCATGGTAGCCGTGCCCTTTTCTGTGGCTTTCCTCCCGTAAGGGGGAAGATTCCTAAACCAGGTGCAAAGACACCACCGTGGGAAAGAGCAAAGGCTGAAAGGCCTGGGGCTCTTACACATGGGCCGAGCATTTTCAAGCCTGTTCCATCGTGTTCAGGCCGCAGAGATGCCCAAAGAGAAGCCCAGGAGTTCCTTTGAGCCCGTGGCGGTGCAGTGAGCTGTGAGTACGCGCTTTTGCGAGCGAAGATTTGCGATGTGCTCGGCGCAAAACAGAGCTTTTAGGCCTCACATCGTGTTCAGCCCACTTCTGGAGGTCATGCAAGCTTGCTTGTCGGTTCCGAACGAAGGAAGATGAAAGTTGGCGCTTGGCCCATGTTGAACAGAGGGCAAGCATGCGCGAGCCACGTGTTTACCTTTCAGAGAAGACCACAGCCAGCATGCAGGTGAAGCCTCTTGCATGCTTGGACACGTATGTGCACTCTAACAGCTGATCAGACATTGCAGCACGGCTGCCCCGCGGCCACCTCTAGCAGAATGTTGGCATCAATGGCGCTATCCTGAGACCCGCGGCAGACAGGGTGCCCTTGACCACATGGCAGCCGAGCTGGCTGCCGAATTCTCAGCAAAAAGCATTCATGCACTTACAGCGTTCCAAGAACAGACAGTTGTCAGAGGAGCCTAGCAACGAGGACGGGGAGGTGCAGGTGAAAGAAGCGAAGTCACGACTGTGCAGTCCAGCCTAGGGTCGTTGATGCATGTTGATGCGGCGCGCTAGGCCAAGCCGAAGCCGGATGTGGAAAACGTGGAAGACAACCCGAATTCCAAAGAAGATCTGGAGCTGGTTGCCTTGGATGTGGTCAAAGAAGCACCAAAGAAAGAAGAGGCTGTCCTTTTATCTTCAATCATTGTTTTTGCGTGAAATCTCCACAGGCCAAATCTCCACAGGCCGAAGGAGAGCTGGCAGTCGTGCCGCACAGGGAGGCCACTTGAGTGCGACGGAGCTTTATGTTATCGATCTGTGAGCATGTGGCTTCTTCAAAAAATTCCGTGTGACCAGCCTCTATGACTTGGCCACACTAGGACCGGGGGATCTGCAGGTTCACTCTAACGCGCCCTCAGGATTGCCGGCATGTGACGGAGCCGTGTCAAAGCTCGCAGGCTTCAAGCAGGGCCAGCCGGAACAGCCTGGTGTTCCTCGGCCGAAGAACTTGGCAGTTAAAAGATGTAAAAAGAATGTTCAGCAACACAGGCCCCACAGATTTGTGACTGCAGCCCTACTGCGTGAGAACTCCCTCTAAAAGCGGAACAACAAAGGGCTTCGTGTCTCACACCAATGCAGCAACCATGCACGGACATGTTTTCCGTTTTCTGGCGCTTACAGTAGCCAGGCCCCTCTTCGTCGAGGAGAGAGGCCATGGTAAAGATGGTGAGCTGCTCCGCGACTTCATCCTTCGCAGGGTGCATCTCAAGCAGGAGATTTCGCTACGTCCGGTTCGGCTTGTGGGGTTGTATCAATCTGTATCAAGTATCGCGCGTATCGCATTGTCGTTCGGTCCCTGCAAGGACTTTCGTGATGCAGCTCTGAAGCGCTGGCTAATTCGCGAAGACTTCTTTGATGAGTTCTTTCCGGTATCGCTGGCATGTCCCAAGCCTTTCCGCATATGGTCTGTCGTCCCTGATCCCACATGACTCAGCTTTCCCTGCGAATCTTCCGGAATTCTTTGAGAAATTGCACAAGCCCGGCCGGCATCTGCTGTTGCCTGAACTAGCATTGCGGAGGAGTACGTCAAGCAATATGGCGTGCCAGGCGGGGCATTGCATATTGCATCAGCTTGGTGCGGGCCCTTTGGTGGCACCGAGGCTCCAGTCAGAGTGAGGCTGAGTCGGAGCGCTTGGAGCAGCTCGCAGGAGACTTACAAAGCCTTTGCCGCTTCGCAGATCGCAGAAGGTCCCAGTGGCATCCGAGGCAGAGGAGTGTAAGGACATCTTGGTACCCTCAGCGCACCCCAAGAAGAAGGCCGCGGGATGCCAGCGAGCCATTGAGCATCCTCCGGGGCCGGGGCGTCGCTGGCAATGGGCAGGTAACTGACCTGGAGGCGGTGTCGACTTCCACGGACGTACGGGGCTCAATAAATCGGCTCCAAAGTTCCAGATCAGATTCGGATCCTTGACTGTGCATGACTCTGCAGGTTTACCAGCTTCGTGATACGCTGCTCGTTGCCGTGAAGGAGTGCATGTCCTTAAGTTAAGCAAAGTGGGACTGTGTCCCAATCGAACGGATGGAGATGAAGGACCTAACAACTCCGCGGAGGTTCTTAGGACTGGCGTCAAACTGTGTAATGCCAGCAGCCCAGACCCGGAATGAAGAAGAACTGAACAGCGGAGCAAAGACTTCAAGCGTCTGAGGTCAGACAAAGCCAAGGACTGGAGTTGGTGCTGCGATGTTTCGCCGCAAGCTGAGCCTGTAAAGGAGACCTTGGCACTCGCTGAGCAGCAGCGGCTTCGCAAAGTCGAAAGATCCTCAGATGTCCACAACTTCTCACAAACTTGCGGCGCGGGTGCTCTCGGTCCCAGTCGCAGGTGTTTCAGTGCCTGAAGGGCATCTGGGAGTCTGGCGTAGGAGGGGAGGCTCAGTCCGAACTGCACGCTCGAAAGCGGGATCTGGGCCTCTGGACCACTGGGAGGTCCTGAAGATGGCCATGGATGCAGTCAGATCTCGGATCGAGAGGACTTGCTGAAGCTCGGACGGGGGCAGAACGTTGCAGATTTCCCGTCCAAGCATGCAGGTTCAAGTCCAAAGCAGGGGAATCCAGCGACGTCATCCAGGCCATGGCAGGTGGGAGAGTGCAGCACTGTCAAGCATGCTGAGACCAGCAAGCAGAATGCATACTTGTCCTACTTTTGGGTGAACTCGGGTGAACGGCTCAAGTTCCAACGCTCTCCACGGCAGCGCACATATGTGGCAACAACGCTTGATGTGAGTGCGTGTGTGTGTGTGTGTGAGTCTTGCTTTAATCGCAATTGCGTGCTGCACCGAAGCATGGCATCCCTCGAGCGCTCGCTGTTTCACCTGCCAAAAGCTGCGACTCGGAATGCAATGAGGCGGCCGTAGAAAGCCAGCGAAGTCAAAGTGGCTGTTGACTTGTATCCGGCTGTTTTTGTTTGCGTCTTCTCTCTTTGTTTCTCCGTCTCTCCCTGATTCATGCGTTTGCAGTCTGGCTGTCAGCTACAGAACCTGCAGATGGCATGCAGAAGCACACTCTTCGTTGTTCTTTGTCCGTGCGTGTGCGATCGTGTGCGCTTGGACGAAGCTAGCTGTCCACATGCGTAATTACGAACTTCCAAGCTCATACACAACTGAGGAGCTGCACCTCCACTTGGAGGGAGCGATGCGCACGACTCCCAGTGTCTACAGGGTGATGGTAGCAACCGAGTTATGCTACCATCTTGCCACCTGTCCGTGACGGAAGATGCGGAAGTTGAATGGTCTCACGTGGTGAGATTGGCTGTGGTGAGGTCCGGAAACGCTGACAGAGCTTTGCCGAAAATACGACATAGAGCGTCCACCAGACACGCGGCACACTTACTGGCACGGCCAAATAGCATCGCAGTGGAGAGAAGTTCTGTCGCCAGCAAATCTTTCCGAGGCAAGGGAAGTCATTTCCCGACTTCGATCCGCTCCTCGGCTGCAGCTCAGGCTGCTCCGGTTCGATCCATCACACACACATACACACATGCACGCACGCCGAAGGTTCGCGCGCTGCTACATCGCGGTCTGCGAGTGTCTGCGGGAGGAGGAGGATCTCAGGCGTTTGGTGCGTGAAGTTGCTGAGGATTCGGCAAAGTCAGGTGCTCCAACGGCAATAGCGAAGAGGTTTGTTTATCGCAAATGCTTCAGCCTTCGAAACGGGTCTGCACATGTTTGGAATGCTAGGTGCCTTGTGGATAGAACCTGCTCTGTCTGTGGAGCTCTATGCCGAGCGACTGGGCGGACTGCCTAAACTTTAGCATCGCGGATGACCGAACCGATAGCCTACTGCCGTAGCGTCGCTCAGCTGGCTCAGGTGGTCTCGATAAGACCTTGCGGATGCTGATGGCGGCTGCAGAAAATGCAGAGGATCTGACAGGCGTTGCCATGGGCTCCGTGTCCATGTCGAGCGGCTACTGGTATTTTGCGTCGCGGAGTCATCCATGCTGAGTTTCAGAAGCAAAGGCTTCATCGTTTCAGCCGAGCGGCACTTGCCGATAGCGAGGGCTGACAAGCTGGCCTCAACCGCAGCTCTTCTGCAGCGCCACAGCTTGAGCATGCTGCAGTCACAGTCCCCACCATTCCATTCCCTGCATGTTCGTAGATTCGTAGATTCTTCTTCCGATTCTAGCATAAGCCTGACGAGCTCCTAGCAGCTCAGATCACCGTTAACAGGAGCCGCCCCACCATTCTGCGAGTTGAGGTCAGGAATTTGGTGGAAAGCGGCGCGGCCAAGATCAAAGGAAGACCAGCCATTATTGGCTTTGGGTTGCATGGTGCCGAGGTCTGCTGTCCTGTATCAGGTAGAATGCGCAACCGCTTATTCAATGACATTCGGACGGGCAATTGCATTGGCAGAGCCGGAGCCGTGAAGTCCAAGTTCTGAGTTGAGAAGTCGCTTGGTCGACTAGCCAAGACCTGCGACAAGGATCAGAATCAGGGTGCGTTGCTTCCTACTCCGGGATCAAGCAGTGATCGATCACGGAACCAGCGACGATAATTAATCTTGAAACGACTATTCTAGAACGGGCCTTGGCGTGGCCTTGGCGGCCTCCCTGCTCCGCAAGGCTGGAAATCCACCCGAGCCGTGGAAGGAGGCGTTCCAGTCCGCCTGCGCTTCCGGCATCGCCGCTCTGCCACATGCCGGGGAATTTCCACCGTCTCCCGAGCCGGGAGCTGGAGCTGCGAGTGCGAGAGCCTTATGGTTAGGCCTTCTGCGGAGACTCTCTTGGTCGGAACCCTTGCCGCGGTGAGGTTCGCTTCTGCGTGGACGTGTTGGGAGCCCGTCGGATAGCACATGGGGTTCTGGCAGCTGACGACGGCACCCTCATCGCCCACCTGGCAAAGCTCAAGGTGTGCTCGGAACCCGGCAACTCCAACACGTTCACGGAATCACGCTCTGAAAGCCAACCGTATGGTTGTGTGAGCAGCACTGCATTCAGCACTTCAGAGCATGCGGCCTCGGGCAGAGGTCTTGATATTTGCCCGACAAGCAACCAGCTGCTCGGCACAGCTGGTGGACCTGGTCTACAGTCGCCGCTCAAGCAGTTTCTTGACGCGGGTGTGCCAAGGCCCCAGCTCTCGCAGTCTCCGACAGTTGCTGCGTGTGCAACTGAAGTTTTTATGCAGATGCTGTGCGTTGGATCGCAGTTCTGTAGAGCAGCGGATCGTTCGATCGTGATTGCTCACACGGGCGGAAGTCAATGTCGGTGGTGCAGGATGGTGCAGGCATGCCTACTCAAGAGTGTCGCACCGCATCGCTGCTAGCTAGCTCTCAAAACACGCGTCGCGCGTGCACGCGCAGAGGGCAGGTGCGCCAAGCCAAGACGGCGCTTGAAGCGCCCAGGCCGAGGCTCACGAAAAGCGCAGATTTTGCTAACGGTGCCCCAAGAATTTCCAGCGCGGTTCCTCTCACCAATCGACAGACGCTCGGTGATGTGCGGTACCAGTATGGCAAGCAGTGGTTCTTGAAGCAGTCTGCCTTGGAAGATGGGGGTGACATGCAAGTCAGGCCCTGCACCATCAACTCTGATGACCCTTTGCTGTTTGGATGCTCCTTACTTGGAGAATATGAACGCTGTCGACGAGAGCTCCTTGGTGAAGTCCAGGATCCGAACTCCTGAAGCGCCGTGAAGCGGAAGCCTGCACAGTGCCAAGGCTGAAGATGCCCGACGAGGAATTGGCCAAGTGTGCGGCGGCTTGGCAGGTACTAGCTATATAGGTACAGTCTTTTTAAACGCATTGCAGTGACACGTGCGCCAAGAGGCTGCATCCTTTGAGCATTCTTGGGCGCCAAGCGCCCTCAAGCAGAAGGGCTTGGAGGACATCGAGGCGCACAACAAGCTGAGAAGGTTTTGGCAGCCCCCATAGGCATCTCAGAGCATGTCAAAGTCAGGAGCGGGATGTTGATCAGCTGCCTAAGCACACTCGTGCGACATGCATTGCAACAGAGAAGATGGCAGCTGCAGAAGCCTAAACCACTGATGAGGGTAGGTGGTGCGGAACCTGGGCCCGAGAATGATGGGAAGGTCGCAAGATGTTGATCGAAGGATTGCTCGAAAAGACAGGTGGCATGGCCGTCCCTACAGATCTAAAGCAAGGGTAGCTTCATGCAGCCGTGGCGAACATGTTTGCTGGAAGCCCCAGATGCTGACAGGGTACTGAAGTGGTAAGTGCTACCACTACACTGCGAGGCAATACATACCGATGAACACATAACGCCGCAATCACTCTCGTTGCAGCGAACTCTCAAGAGAAGGCGCTACCACCGCCACGCCCGATTTCGAGCGGGTAGGCTTGTAGGTCAGCTCGAATCCAGGGCCCGGAGCTGTTCCGGCAGGTGTGGCTGCAGAACAAAAGCAGTAGCTTGCGGGAAGGCACCGAGACTGCACGAAGATGCGCCATTACCGTTAAAAGCCACCACTAGACCAGGAGTCCCCAATTAATGCTCTCCCGAGGCCTGCCGGGCAAGCGAAGTCACAGTGATGCTTTTGCGAATCGGGCGTAACCGGCAAAAAAGCAGTGCGTGAAAGAAGCGCCCGCATGCGCGCTTTCGAGCCTCCATGCTGACCTACATGTATACAAAGTTAACACGATACGGGTGCCAGAAACATGGACCGCCCTGGCAGGCCAGCAGTGGGCCCAACTGGAGGTCACGCGCCGAACATCTGCTCAGCTGGCTGGCTGTTGCTTGCGTCCTTTCCTCCAGAGGACTTGGTCCAGACCATAGATGAGCAGGAGCAGGCGAGAAGTGACAAGCGCCTTTCTCATAGCAGAATGAGTCCTGTTTGCAGCCAAAGGCAGGAGGACACCGGGGGCCTTTGGGTCCTGTGGAGGGCCGACGAAACGTGGCGGCATTGGTGTGGAGGGCTGAAGTCAGGTAACCTTCCCCATGTCAAGTTGGGGTCTCTGGGTGTGATCCGCTGATTGAGCTTCGATGGCAGTTTGCGCAGCTTTACCTTGGGGCCCTCGACTGGAAAGGTTTCTTCGTACGTGCACTGCGGAGTGGTTTGCTGATGAAGTTTGCAAGTCTTGTCCCCAAGTCCCCTATCCATTGAGATCCTCTGAGCAATCCAGTGATTTTCCACACGCACGTGTCCATGGGTTGCCCGCTTCGCCTTGCTCGGGCTCGGTCCGTAGGGTACTTGGCAAACTGGTCTTCGATAACTTTACGGAGCTCCAACAGGAAAGGGGACCCTTCGTTGCCCGGAAGCATGAGCGTGTTTGCAGCAGCTTCTTGAGGTACAAAGATTGTCATCGATCGTGCAGATGCCCCGGACACTTGTAGCTTGACAGTGGAGTCTCTCTGGCCCGCACAAATTCCTTTGTTGCGCAGGCATTGGATGCCTTGGGGGGCCAGGGCACCCTGCGCTCCGGCCTCACTGTACCAAAGACCCTGTCTCGACTTGCGCAGTCCAAGACCAAGAGTTTACGGCTCAGGCGAGGTGATCGAGTGGATTGAGAAGAATCCGAAGGAGCTCGAAGAGCTCCGAGAAGCAAAACTGAATCGGACTGCTTGCCCTTTCATATCTGGTTGAGAGCGCAGAGTGTTGCTGAGACAGGGTATTTACTCGGGTCATGCCGGCAGGAACATACGAGACGGACGGCGGAAGCCTGTTTCCTGGCTGAGGAGCAAGATGTGCTCATGCTGCTTCTTTGTGGTCAGGCCGTGAAGCAGAGTCCCACAAACCAAGGTGTGGCATTCGACCGCCGCTCGCTTCAGCAGAAGCGTTTCCAGAGTGTTTTGCTTAAACCGAAGCTGCCAAGGTTGGTTCGACGATCGCCACCTTTCGTAAAGTTCCCCGAGCCGGCCCGCGGATGTCCTAAGTTGCATTTGACCCTCTTGACTCCGCTCATAATATATTCTTCCGCGAGAGAGTACGAGGCCAACGCGGTACCTGAGCTCCAAAGCACCTGAGCCAGAGGACGGAAGAGCTGTTGCGTTGTGCAGGATGCAGCCAACATGCATGAAAGGCCTATACCTTCACACCCCATAGACGTGATCCGCTACCGATCCGGCGTCATGCTGCAATGTGCAAACGGAAGCACCACCACCTGCTGCTGCGCCAGCTGATCCTGCTACTCACCGCTCCTGTATTGGCAAGGAATGACCATGATCGGTGTTGTAATGGAACACGCAGTTGTTTTCGCTAGTGGGTGGCAGCAGGGCCGAAGCCGACGATGCTGCTACAACTACTAACCACAAGCCAAACAAGGCGAACAGTGTGGGAAAGGATGCTCGGGGATCGGGAATTTATGCCTAGAGCCCAGGGACCTGCACTAAAGAGTTTAAAGGTTGATACGGCTTAGCTTAGAGTGTAGAGATTTCGGACCGAAAAAACCATGATCTCGGTATTCGGATTCTCTATGCCATTCCATATAACCGATTAAGAAGGCCTGGCGCTCTTTGGAACCCGGACTTGTCAACCGAAGATCTCGCGATGGTGGTGGCGGTGATGCTGGCAGTAGTGATTGCATTGAAAAGCACGGTATTCCAGGTCTCATTATCACCAACAGCAGCCTCAGCCTTCATCACCCCCATTACCGCCATCACAACCGTCATCATCACCATCATCCTGTCATTGGTGGCTTGCTTTTGTTCTTGTTCATCTCGATTACCAGGAGCCGATGGCCATTCAGGATGCACCTGCGGCGAAAACGAGGCCGAAGCCTTCCAGTTCATGAAGCAACACTGAACTCGGGCAGCCCAGCTCCCGGGCGCGCAGGTCCAAGCGCGCTGCGAAACAGGTTGCGGAGGACGGAAGCCGGCTTCTCCTGTCCTGAGAGCATTTGTTGTTTGCAGAGTTGCCACAAGCCCGCTACTGTAGGGCGGCGATGATTCTGCTGGCCAAAGTGCTCCGAAGCCCAAGAGGATTCGAAAGGCCAAGGCCCCGCTCTCTCCAAGTACTCGTGAAGTTGTCTTAAGAGAGCTCAGTGAGCCGAATGGCTTCGAGATCAGCTAGCATCTGACGCTCCGTGTATTCTGCCAGGCCAAGGCTCAAGCTGCCCCAGCAGAATCCGAGGAGCCCAAGGATACGGTCCCTCTGAGGACTGGAAGCAGAGGGGTAAGCTTTCCTCGCCTGAGATACATTTCCCAGCGCCCCACTTGACAAGGCCTGGGCAAGCTGAGGACCCCAGCGGGCCGCTGGAAAGCAAAACGCGGAATCCATTTTGAGACTTTCGGAAACATGCGACAGGTGCAGCTAGAAGCTACAGCAAAGCCCTCTAGGAATGCCACGAGTTTTTGAGGCTAGATGGAAACATGACAGTGACATGAAGCCACAGAGTGGCAGCTATGCATCGCCCCAGGTAATGGATAATGAGAGCACGCTTAGCCTCAAGCCTTTCCACAGAGTGGAAGCGCATTGTAAGATAATTCATGCCCCGAAAGTGGATGAGCCACACAGCTTGGCGCTTGCATCAGTGTACAGTGCGAGGCATTGCTTTAAAAGCTCTGTGGAATCGGTTGTGGGTTGAGTCTCAGTCCGTATGTCCTGCCAGACTTCTAGGGCCCGTCTGCTCTCCGAGCAACGACGCCGTCTCCTGCCCAGTCAGGGGGTCGTCGGCATAGATCTGCCCGGCCCCGTTCGTGACCATGGCTCCTTCGTACCTTGGCGTCACACTCTGGCGTATGCCAAGTGCAGCAACCACCAGTCACCATGTACGATTGGAGCAGCCACCCGCCTCCGGCGGATTTGGCGACCTCGGAGGGGGTAAGTTTCTAAATTTTGCCAGAGACGGATTCTGGTGTTTGGCAATCCTGGAGCCCAAAAGAACGAAAACGGAGCCCAAATGCGGGAAATCTGTGCAAAGCTACGATGTTGTCACTCTGGTACCGCTGCATCGCCACCGATGAAGAATTTGGGCTCCCTTTCATGTCACCTTGCGACTCCCCCATCAAGATCGGCCATGCCACATAGCCTAAGAAGAGCGACCAGGTCTTGCGCAAAGAGATGGAAACGGTCAAGTCCTTGTGCTTTGGAAGTCTGAACGGGCTCTACCTGGGACAATGTGCTGTAGGCATCAAGCAGGAAACGGAGAAGGTGGAGAGCGAGCGCCAGGCTTTGCAGAGCATTCAGCATGAGGCAGAGGAGTGTGAGAAGACGAAAGCCAAGAAGAAGGCCGAGTGCTTCTCAGGGCAGGGCCAGTTCTGGCACAAGTATACCTCCGACTTGAAGGCCGAAGGCTGCATTCGCCAGAAATGGGAAGTGATTGCCTCTCTTGCATTGCCTGAGATCGAGCTCAGCGAAGTCCAGGAGCTCCTACCCAGATGCCTGGCTTCAATGCCCTGGACTTCACGCGGCGATCTCGTGGTGCCTGGCGGTGGAGAGAAGCTGAACGTGGCGGTGGGCCACCACTGCCAGCAAGGCCAATCCGAAGGGCAGCAACAAGCAAAGCTGACGTTCGACCAGGGCGTTGCCAACATCAAAGATCATCAAAGCGGACATCAGGACTTCCGAGGAAGCCAAGCCGAAGATGGATCAAGCATACAAAGAAACACACAATAACAACACACACACAGGCACAAACACGCCCACAGACAAGACGAGCTCGCTGAAGCAAAGCGCATTTCCAGGATGCACAAGTCCAGACATGTTGAAGTCTTCTTTGAAGAAGTTTCTCTTTCAGCGGTCCAAGAGGCATGGACCGGCTGTTGAAGTGTTGCAGTCTTGCAGACTGCCAGGTTGAATGCCACTCTGCCCAAATCTCTGATTCATTGGATTGAATGTCTTCGAAGAAAGAGCTGAAGAGCGATATCCTCGTGCAGCCACGGACCCCATGACCTGACAATTTGTCAAGATGGCACTGATGTGACTTGCATTCCGTGGCTCGAGAACTCTCTACATCGATTGCCATAGCTCGAGGTGCTGCAGCTACTGTTCGCAACCCGACCTCCACCACATTCATGCCCCGATCAAGTTGACACGTGACATGGACAGGAAGATTCACATGTACCTATAGCCATGCGACCTTACCATGGCCAAGGTACGATGTTTCCGTTGCACGAGTGAAATCCCAGCTTGGTCACGTTCGACCGCAGAGGCGTCGAAAGCCCGGCAATCTGGCTACGTTGCCGAATCGCAGTTGGAAGCAGAGGCAAAGCGTTTGTCGTCGCCTTTTTCTTGATTCCTACGCTTTCCTCGGGGGGGTAGGTCGCAAGACTTCGCAATGCGTCTTCTCCTTGGTCGAGGCGTCTGATTCGAGTGCCATGGTTCTAGAGCACTGCAGGCTGGCAGATGCAGAGCGACAGAAGGCCGAGCTTCAGACGCAGGCCCCTGATTCGTAGTCCATTAGCAGGCGCACTGCAGCATCTGCTTATCCTCGTCCCTGCATGCATTGAGCTGGCATGCTCCCAGTCTCGTCTACATTGAATATGTGCCAGTCAGGGCACCTTTTGTCAACTTCCCCCAGTTTCGGTGGTTGCCAAAGCATATGAGCCGAAGTATGGTAAGTAGTTCTTATGGAAGTTCTCCCTGTGGCAAAGAGATCAAGTTCAAGCAGGTGGAATGTCAGGCACTGCCTTTGACTCCCGGACAATCCGCGAACAGTGCAGTGATCACTAGTGGGAGGAATTGCCCTAGTTGCTCCACGAAGCACTCCATCCAACCGGGAGACCAGCAGACTGTAGCACACAACCATGTCCACTTTGTCCGCCAGGTTGAAGATCTCCGCGGAGAGGTTCCGTTGCATTGGGGCTTGATGAAAGCTGCGAAAACATGCTGCAACACTATTACACGGAGCTTATGGACGTGTTCAAGCATTGCATGGGGGTGCACCGTGCGCTTTTGAGGGCTTGAGGCAAAGACGTGAGAGGTGAATGCTTGGCTTGGATGGTCCAGTTTGATTTGGATTAAGTTTTCAGGCTGCTGTTGCTTATGCTCCACTGCTTCGACCGCGTGGTGATGGCAGCCGTTGTCTTCGTAGCAGCAGCAGCAGCAGCAGCAGCAGCAGCAGCAGCAATAGCAGCACCTGTTTTGTTCGTGTTTGTGTTGCCGTTGTCGCTGCTGCTGTCGCTGCTGCTGCTGCTGCTGCTGCTGCTGCTGCTGCTGCTGCTGCTGCTGCTGCTGCTACGACTTTGGCTGCAGCTGCTGTTGCTGTCGCTAAGAGCAGACGGAGGCCGAGACGGAGGCGGAGGAGGAGTAGCAGTAGCAGTAGTAGCACTAGTACTCGTACTCTGGCACTAGTACGTCGTCTTAGTAGGAGTAGCAGCCGCTACTGCTTACAGCAACAACAACAACAACAACTACTACTACTACCACTACCACTACCACTACCACTGCTAATAATAATAATAATAATAATAACAATAATAATAAGAATAATCCTGCTGCTGCTGCTGCTGCTGCTGCTGCTGCTGCTGCTGCTGCTGCTGCTGACTACGACTCTACAACTGCAATTGCTGCAACTACGAGTTCTACGACCCTACTCCTTCTGCTACTCCTACGCTTTCTCCAACTCCTGCTGCTGTAAATCTGGTACCGCAACCAGCACGTGGCACCAGTGCCAGCACCGCCGCCACCACCACCGCCGCGCCATGAGCTTCATCCCCACAGCAACAGCAGAAACAGCAGCCACAATTGCCATCTGTCACATAGCAATGCAACAACGACAACGACACCATGCAACATCAGCAGGTCTCCAAGATGTCAGGGACGCTTGGATGCAGGAAGTTCAGCATGTCGAAGCACCAGACGTGGAACCATCCCTTCAGGTGCAGGTAACTGATTCGTGCTACGTACAACTCATACACACTTCAATACCTCGCGAATTCGAAGTACATGCCATCGGGTGTGCGTTTCCTAGCAGATCTCCGACTCCCCGCTTCCGAAGCCGAAGGCAGCTGTCCAGTCCTGGTGGTGAGCCAGACGAGCGGGACCGGGGCATCTAAGACAGTCGCAATCTCCTTTGCTCCGTCTCGCTTTTCGCTGGGCCGCGCCATCCTGCGCTGCATTTGGCTCAAGACTGCGTTCTATGCCAGTTTCATCCCTGGAGCTCCATGGACTTCAGGTATCATACATTCTTGGACCCTTGCATGCTTGCAGACTGCACCTTGGCATGATGCGAAAATTTGTCAATGTTTTGACTGCAGCCAGACATGTCAGCTGAGTTGAGATGAGGTAGTCTCGAGATTTGAGAGGACGTTCCCACTGCCTGGCTTCAAGTGTATGGACACTTGTTTCAAACTGTGTGCGGTCTGCTTTTCTGGGGGTGTCGAGGAATAGGATGTGACGATGAATGATGAATGAAGGTTGGCAAGAAATCAGAGTTCAGGGCTGCTGGCTTTCCAGTCGCGACTTGATGGGGTGTTTGTCCGACCCTTGGCTTGTTTCCTTCGCATCTGTTGTTCCATATCTTGGGACTCTCTTGTGCATGCCCAACTGCCCAGGATCCTCGCAAACTCGCGGCCTCCGCGTGTTGTCTGATCGCGGGACTACTTGCATCTTGTTGGCAGTTGTGAGTCCTTGAATCACTCATCCGACAGTCCGACGTCACATGACGTCACCTTCAGTGTTTTAATTTGAACGCGCTGTGCGCGGCTGGCCACTGTGTGCTACATTGGGCCCCGGTCGCTTGCGCATCCAGGCTATTGCCTTGCAAGGCTGCTCTGATGAAGCTCCTTAGCTGTGATTGCTGCAGCTTGCTCATGTCACCCTGACTTAAGCGTCCTCGCAGGAAGCTGTCGAGCAAGCCAGGGAGGATGCCATGCGAGAGGGTGAGGCCTGGGCTTGGGCACAACTGCGTCGCCGAATGCTCTCACAGCTGACATGCTAGGCACTGAAGGGAGTTCAGGATGCCGTCAGCTACCGGGCCGCAAGCAGTACTTCCAAAACTTGCGGCTCTGAAGTGAAGCCCTCATTCTCGAGAAGAGGTGAGTACAGGGAACAGAAGAAGAAGACACTGGAAGCGCGGGACAACGTCCAGGCAAAGAAGGACCCCAGGGCGACTGTCATATTTGTTATTTGCAATTCTTCCCCGAGCCACGCATGCTGATGAATGGAACACGCCGTCACGGGGCGACGCTTGTGAAGCAATAAAGGTTCCAGCTTAAGGGTTGCACAGATTGCCGATTGCTGTCAGGATGGCTTCAGCAAGGCACCACGTACAGCAAGCTGCAGCCAACTCCTGCTTTGAGAAGAGACCTCTGTCCTTGACGGGCTGAAGGTTTTGGCAGACGAGGGCAGGAAGCCGGAAGGAGACGAAGCCGGAGCCCCAAAAAGAGGAGCTTAGTACGGAGACGTTGTGTTGTCTTAGAAGCATTGCCCCCAAGGCAAGCGCTCTTGACGATGCCAACAAGGTTCTCAAGGAGGAGGCGGCTGGGGAGCAAGCCGAGAATGCCGTCGAGCACGGTGAGGCCAGGGCCAGCAACCACGGAACGTGTTGGAGTGATGTCTTTTCCTGGCCTGTCTGCCAGGCCCCTCCGAAGAAAGGCAGGGATCAAAAGGGAGCCGTGCCGAGTTTACGACTCGCACGCATCTCGCAAAGCAGGCTCAAGTCTTCTGGTGACGTTTCCGAGGCACCGGGTCGGCAAAAGCCGGATTAGGTACAATTGGAGAGAGAGCGACCTACTTCCATTGAGCCAGCAGATCCTCCCTGCATCTTATCAGCGGAGCTGCTGCCGTCCACTCAGGAAAAGCCGGTCCCGTGCCCGAAGGAAGCTGGAAGAGATCTTCCTGCCGGATGCTTACGTTGGCTTCTGCAGGAAGGGAAGACACGCTGGCTTCTCTACGCAAGTTCTCAATTGGTCTTGATACTGTACCGGGGTGCGGCACTGTAGGGCAATCTGCAGATGCCGCCGTCATTTGAGAGCATTGAGGCCTTCAGACGGACACGAAGGCCGCCGCCCCTGAAATTTTCCTCTCGGAATCAGGCAGGGCATCAGACGGACACGCGATGGCGGAGACGAAAAAAGAAGCGCATCGTCTGGCACGCCAACCGAGCGATGCGCTCGATCTCTGCACGAGGACAAGCAACGCTTGCTCGCGCACCTCCGTTCCGAGGCGGCGGGCTGCACTGCTGCGGAGCTTTGTCGCCGCGCCGCCAAAGGCGTATGTCGAGCTCTTCGCCTCTCCAATCGCGGGCGTCGGAGTGCGGGCGTTTCGGCCCGAGCCTGAGTCAGAGGTTTTTCAACGGTTTTTCTGGGATTTCTACGCAGAGATGAAGAGGACCCTCCCAAGCTCATGGGATTCCAGTCAGAGGTCCGAGTCAGAGGCGATGGCCAGCAGCTGCCACAATCAGTACCCTACAGTCACCTGAGCGAGAGAGTATCTTTGCTTCAACACCAGCTTCCATCCCCTTGAACTGAACATCTAAGCTTAGGTTCAGCATCAGTTCAAGTTTACAATGCTTACCGAGGCAGATTCCTGAAGGAGTTGACCCCTTCCCGATCTGCAACCCACACATGGCGGCGAAGGACGGCTGAGGCTGAGGTTGCAGTGAGCGGAAGCAGATATTGAGGACTCATGCCAGAGCCGTTGTGCTCGAGCCACTGGCGTGACAGAAGACACAAAACGCAAGCATTTTTTGAGTGTTCAGCAGATGCATGCAGTCCAGCTAAGATGAGTCTCTGGTTCTCACAATGAGATGCTTCGAGCATATGTGCTTCATGCTTCCCGCGCGACGCGCTTTTCGCGATCCCTCGCCGGTGCTGAGGAGAAGGGCAGGCCATACGCCAAGTGTTCGACTTGCCACCAACCAAGTAGGCAGAGAGGCTTAGAACTAGTATGAGCAAGTCCACGCATCAAGGCGCAACCCATGTATCCCAAATCCCAGTCAGCTCCATTGATATTCTTTAAACGCGGCATATATGAATCCCTTAAAGGCAGACCCGACCATGTCGTGCCTCTCTGCTGGCCCAACTCGGGGTGTCTTGGTCACAGCAGGGGGTTGCAGTAGCCAGGGCCGGGTTCACGGCTTTCAACTGCCAGGGCAGGACCCACCGTCATTGTCTCTCCCCAAATCACATGCCTCGCTGAGGACATAGAGAGATGCGAGCAAGTACTCCCTTGTCTGGCACAAGAACCAGAAGGGCGCAGCGATAAGTTTGTCAAGGCAATGAAGGTGTTTGGGGAGCTCCGAGACTTTCAACACTTGCTGCGGGTCTGGAACCTTTCGCGCCAAAAGAACGTACATCTCAAGCTGTCAGCGTACGCCACATTGATCGAGGCTTTTGGGAAGAGCATTGGGCGGGAGCGGCCTGAGATCAGAAGGCTGGGTCTCGTGGCAGGCAAGAGAGCATGGCAGTGGATGCTGCACGATGGGCATAAACCAGATGCCGTCGCAGTGAGGGCTGCTCTGCACCTCTGTGCAAAAGCCGGAGATGCAGCTTGGGCCGCACAGCTCTGGGAAAGCACGTCGAAGTCAAGCACTGCAACATGGAATCGATATTTGGAGACTGTTTCACGCCATTCTGGCCCCGAAGGCTGGGAAACTGTGGAGAGAGAGCTGTCAAGCTGCGTGAATGTGGCAAGGAGTTCGAGGCTTGTACCAGATTGCATCACGCTGTCCGTTCTGGTGAATGCAGCTGCAGAGCAGAACGACATGAATCGCGCCGATGAGATGTGGGAGCGCTTGGTTGCAGCCGTAGAGCCGACGGCTGAAACCTACGCGGCGCGATCGAAGAGCTTGCTTTTGGGAGGAGGGCATGAGCGTGTTCTGGGCCTTCGAGAGGAAATGCAGCAGAAGTCCATCTCGCCAATTCCTCGCAACATCTTGCACGAGGTGCAAGCGAGGCTGCTATTGCTGCACCAGCATCCTCAGGATCGCTCCCTCTACGAGCGCCTCCAGGAGACCATCGAGACGGCACAAGGAGAGGCCAGGGCGGCGGGCCAGGAGGCTCTGCAGCTCCGGCAAATGCAAACCTTGGCGGGAAGCATCTGGAATGGTGAGAGACTGGATTCTCGGCAGCGTGTGGCTCTTCCTCTTGAACAGCCCCGACACACCCATTCTTAATCCCGAGAACCACTGCAGCCAAGGCATTGGACAAGGTCCGCGTGCTGGCCTGGCGTTGGCCCACAGAGCCTGCACCGAGCAGCACAAGCGGAAAAGTCGCCCCATTGCTTGAGCCAAAGATGCCTGGAAACCTCAGGGTCGGGGTTGTGTTTCGAGCTCGGACCAGCATCAATGTAGCCTTCATCACGAGACTCACAGCGGATGAACAGTTTGATCTGCGAGGCTCGCTTGTTTCTGCGGCCACATTTCCGGAGTTCGGGTCATGTCGAGATTGTCTGGACAATTTACATGGGTCAAAGTTGTGGAGGGTCGAACCATTGTTAGAATCTGCGTGGGCGCCAAAGCAGACAGAGTGATGCTGACCCAGACTCTGCACAGTGTTCCCTTGAAAACATAGCTCTGCTCCCGAATCCCACAGAGCTAGCTACTCCGGACCAGGAGAAGTTCTGCACTTGCTCACATGCTGAGCTTCGAGTCTGAGACTCAGTGTCGGCCGAAGAGTCACGCCAGGGTTCGCACACGCTCGTGCAGACTCACGCCCCTCTCCAAATCCACGCAGAGACACGCACACAATCCCACAGGCACAGAGATAAAACAAGGGCCCCATCGCAATGAGACGCCGTAAAAGTCAAAGGGTCAGCGACCTCCCATACAGACATGCATGCGTGCATGCATGTGTGTATGCATGAATGTCTGTATGTATACTGTTTGTTTTGTTTGTGGGGAGTGAGAGAGAGAGATAGATAGAGCCTCGGAATGCCAAAGTGACGAGGCGTTGCCTGATGGAGTCATGGACAAGGCCATGGCACCTTCTTGGCAAGGCACCAGTGCTGTCAACCAATGCATTTTGTGCCATGAGGTGAAGTCTTTCTTCGCTGCCTTGACGATGGATGATGGCTGGACGCCTATGCGCGACGAAGACGGAGAGGTGTCCTGCCAGCCGCAAGGCTTTTGGTCCAATGGCAAGAATGCGGCAAGAAGACACCGAAGTCATCGCCACATACCGGGGTCAATAGCCCTGCTGCACAAACACGGAGTAAGTGCTTGCAAGCAGTCTCAGTTTGCACAAGTCTTTTGTTCCTTCCCGGTAGTTTGTCCAGCCTCTGCCCGTGACAATCCGTGACAGGCCCCAGTCGAACATAGCCTAGCCCATGTCAATTGCAATTCAACTTGCTAGAGTTGCCTAGTGTGAAATGAGGCTGCCTGGGTCTCCTTCGAGGGTCGTGTTCGGAGGGAGCGATACATGCAGACGTTTGCACAGATCATCTACGGCGTGCTGACGTCGGGCATGAACAACTTGAACCTGTCCTGGTGACCGCAAATCGCATCTCATTGGCGGCGCTGCTGTGGAAGCACTGTAAAGAGTGGCAGGTACCTGAACCACTCGGAGGATCCCAATGTGGCCTTCAAAGATGCCTGGCGCCCTTCGAACGAGCGAAAAGCACACACAACGCATCGCGCCAGCCGGGGCCCAAGGCTGAAGAGGACGGCGGCTACAACTCCTTCGTTACGAGGTGCCGGGGGCGCTCTGCAGAAATCCTGGAAAAGCCCTGCGAATTGGTTGAGCAGTCGCCGGTTCCAGTTGCTTGCCTATCCTGTTGTGTGCCAGGCGTCGAATTGAGGCGGGAGAGGAGCCTCTCTTGGAATACGGTCTGATGAAGTGCCTGCTGCAGAAACAGACAAGAATGGTTGATTGCAGAGTGAGCAGACGACCACAAAGTCAATTGGCAAGAGCTGAGAATGTAAATGTTTGGATATACCTGAACTTGCTTCGATTGGTCGTTACTTACATCATTCGCCTCCCTGCCAATGGCAGAGGAGCTGACGACGGACTACCGGGAGCTTGGAAAGGACCCTTGCAACTTTCGGACGATTGCATGAGTTCTCGTTTCAAGGGCACACTGGGTCAGAACTCTCACCGAATGGTTGTGCGCACCAAGCATGTGATGCTAATGTCAATGTCCACTGAGTGGAAAACTAACCCCATCTGTTCCAGACATCGTTGTCATGCTGCCAGAGTGTCGCGTAGATGCTCATAGCAGCTATAGCAGTGCTCTAAGACCGGCCGAAGGAGTTCTATGCGTTGGTGTCTGGCACCTGACAGGAGAGACTGTTGCGTGCGCAAAAACTTACTCACGAGGGATCGCTTCGTGCCTCATACATGTCTGAATAGTCTGCGAAGCTGTTGTTTACCTTCAGCCGGATGCATCGAAATCTGCATGAGTACCAGCAGCAGCTGACAAGGCCACAACACGTTCACGAGCATCGCTTGCAGTCAGTCAAGTCGTCAGCAAGCATGTCCTGATACATCGAATTCGAGTGCTGGCGCGTGGCCGATGTCCGTGGCAGACTTGCAACGGCCGGAGAGCAAGGGCGGCCAGGAGCACGGAGCGTAGAGCCGTCATCTAGACCACGAGGCTGGTTCACCGGGCGACACCTCGGATCGAGGATGTTCGGGCACCCGACCGGACCGCCACAACCTCGGAATTTTTGGGAGCCGCCGTGGAAGCCACGCGAGCCCGAAAATGTTCCAAGGATTTCATCCGCCGAGAGCATGGGCACTTGCCTCTCCGAGAGGTCGTGGACGCGCCCGGCTGCTCAGAGTCACCCGTTTCGAACTCTCTACACTCAAGCTCGGTATCCAGTCCCCAAAAACCGCACTGCACCAAGGGTGGCAAGGCGCTGTTCTGTACGGGTAGTTTTGAAGAGTGCAATCATCAAGGCTGGACGCGCTGGAGTTTTCTGCGACGTCCTTTCTCCGGCAGTTCAAGGAGGTGAGTGTGGCACAGGAGAGAATCATGCATCGGCATTGTGACGGCTGGTCAAAAGTGAGGTTTCGTACTTTGCATACGAAGTGCCAGGGGATTGTGAGTTGCTCGGCCGAGCTGACACGACAGGAGCCTCAACAGCCGGAGTTCAACGACGATGAGGTTTGTCTGCTGTTGCTGATGTGCTGACGTGATACGATACTAGGCCGGCTTTGTCAGGCTTGCGTCCTGTCTGAGAAGGGGCGCTTGGAACGCTATGCAGCGAAGCCTGCCGCTCCAGTCGGGGTCTCTTGTTCCAGCGGTTTGAGGATGTTGCGAGGATTGTCTTGCGCCACAACCGAGACAACTGCAAGCACTTTCTTCGCCACTGCACCTTCCGCTCCCCTTATCTCCTCCAACTTCTCAGTCCTCTGCCTCGTCATTGCCGTCTCCTTATTGGCACAACGCGGTTGTCCTGTACCGGTCCTCTCGACACAGTACTGAAGATCAAAACCGGCACCACCGGTTTGGCGGCAAACACTCCACCCCTGGAACCATCATTATTGTCATCATTGCTATTCAACCATACTCTGTCTATCATGCCACGTCCTTTGCTTCGCCTTATTTCTCAGGTTCCATTGCTCCGACTTCGCCTGCTCATCTGCGATGTGCCTCAGAGGAAAGCAACACTTCTCTCGAGACACTCCTTGACAAGCTGCCGTTTTTGATAATTGGACGAATCAAGACCCGGCAGTTCCCATCCCGTGTCGGCCAGACGAGCATGAACTGCGGCGGCTGTCCTTCCTGCAAGGGCCGTACTTGCCGGCTGCGCAGGTCTGCTGTTTGCCTCCGAGCCGCCTCGGCATTAGGGCCCGGTCATCCGGTGCCTCCGATGCTCCCGAAGCCGATGGAACAGCGAAGATCTTCAAGGAGAAGATCTAGTGGTCGCGACACCCACAGCAGTCCCCTCTCGCCGCCATTAGATGACCATGCGGGGAGGTGTTATCTCTCCTCCTCCACTGCCACGGCAAACACAGCAACTATAGTATTCAGAAGCTCTACGTGAAATGAGGGAGGCATTGGCGGCCGCGAAGAACTTCACAAAGGGCCTTCTAAGCCCGAGGCGTTGCGTGCAGCTTGACAGCCATACCAGCTGGCCTGGCCAGAAGAGTCAGGAGAGCCTTCTTGAGTCCTCGGGATTCAAATCGGCCCGGGCCGAACGGATTCTGTCGCTTCTGCTGGTCTTGAAAGATGACCAGATCTTACCTCCTGTAGACAAGATCGGGGGGGGAAGTGGACCCGGCGGATTTCGCATGACGCGCTTGCAGTCGCGGCTCTCACAGAATGGCTTGTGGAACCGTACTGCGTCTCAGCATGCTGACTTGCTTTTCGATTCCCTGGATGAACGGATCAACGCCACACTGATCTTGCCACGGGGGTGGCGGCTTGAGTCAATGTGCAGAACTATCAGCCCCAAGTCCTGATGTCGAGTGCGTTCTCATCTCAGGATGAGAGCTTTGCATGCTGTGCTCAGGAAAAATCAGATGATACATGCGTTCACCAATTGATTCTTGTCGGCATCTAGCTCGGGAAAACAGTATTTGATGATGTGCGATGTTTCCCACATTCCTTGTTTCGATCTTTTAGGCATCGCCTTCTGGAGGGAACTCGTGCCCTGGCCCTACTGCAGAAGACGCTGGCAAATCGGCCCTGACACCCGCTGCGGGGTTGATATCAGAATGAGTTCGTGCCTCAGGTGTTCTGCCCACGCCTACCCTCCGACATCCCGAAGGGTGAGACCCAAGCGGAGGTGGCCAGAAGATTTCCTGCATCGACAAGACGGCTCGGTGGAATCAGGAGTGGGCTTCGAACCCGGCATCCGACTGGAAGGAGGCGAGAGCCTGCCAAGAAGCGGGCGAAAGCGCAGCTAGAAGTGGTCCAGGTTGCTGCTGACGAGAAGACCAAGGGCGGCAATGCTTTCAAGGAGAAGGCCTTGCTGGCTCTGAGCATTGGATATGAAGAAAGCGCCCATCAAGTGCCTCACAAAGGACTTCCGAAGGGCCATAGACCACTACACGCGGGCGATTCGGGCCGCGGCCTCTTGCAGACTTAGGGCACTTAGCCCAGCCTCAACAGCCGAGGCCTCGCCCAAAGAGGCGGAGCTACACACGCAGGGCGCACAGATTCAGACTTGAAAGCGCATTCTGTCAGTGGCCTCCTTTTGGAGTGTCCTGCCGGATGCCTTTAGTTCTTGCGTCGCTGCCTTTTCATGGGCATTCTCACGCCCGCAACATCTGGCAGGTTGTATTCAAACCGTTCTGCGGCTCGCATGCAGGCGCTTAAACTGAATAGGCATCGCTGCGCTGCTGCACCTCCATGCTCTCGAAGGTTGCTGAAGCAGAGGCGGCGCTCGCCGATGCAAGGCATTTGCAAGATGTGCCTGCATGTGGACACCGTGGGTGCCAGACCCGATCAGACCGCAGGCTTTGTGTCCAGCTGGCCCCATCTTGGCCCAAGGGTCGCTTTCGTGAGGGGCAAGGGCCTTATCAGGTACATTCAATAAGTCTTGCTGAAGTGCTCCATAAGGGAAGAGGGCGCTGCAGGACGGCACTGAGACAGCTCGGACGCTTCGATGAGGCTGCTGCTTTATGTGTTTGCAAGATTTTGCATGTATGTTGCGGAAGTGAGCCAGCGCGAGCCACAGCCAGCTGCAGGCCATAAGTGCTTTCTTGCATGGACAGCGCCTAGAACCAGACAACAAGGATTGGGAGAAGGAGGTCAGCTTCGAGCCAGTCAGTACAGTGAAACTTGACAGCCCACTGTAGCATTCCAGCCTGCAACAGGTTGCGAAGACGCAAGAACTGCACGAGGCATTGCCGAATTGCTGACAAGTGGCTTTGAGTAGCGCCGCTGCAGTCAGGCAACACCGGCTTTGCAAGTGCAGCAGCTGATAATGCACCTGTTGCCAGGTGGGCAATGCATAGGATTTCTCATGGTTTATCGGATCGGCTCCGCAAGCGCAGCCAACTGCCTCAGACATCCTTGCAACCTGGCTCCGTGCTGCCGACGCCGGCGGTGTCCTGCAACTGCAGGTGCGGTTCTGGGGTCCCGGCCCAGGGCCTATAGAGTCCTTGAGGCCTGGATCTCGCAGCTTTCACAGGTGAATGGTCATCTCCACGATCTCGGAGTTTGCAAGTGGCGTCGCCTCCGCGAGGGAGCTCAGCCTGGCAAGGCCGAAGTTCGAGCCTTGCGCATCGGCGCGCAAGAGCCCGCTTTGGCAGGCGCAGATCCGCTACGCATTCTTGGAGAAGAAGGGGTGCCATGGGCCGGGTTGCACATCATGGAATTTGCTCACTTCTCACCCATCCAAGGTACCTTGCCAACCTGGCCGCCAACCTGCAAAGCCCTACGGAAGCTTTTGCAGTGCTGGACTTGGAAGGCTCATTGACATGTCTGTCCCAAGCAAAGAAAGCGAGGCAACAGGTTTATTAACTGCCAGGTAACGCCATCAAGATACCTGATGTCAGCACTTTCTTTTGGCAACCTGCCGCAGTCTCAGGGATCATGCGGCTGGAATATCATTTGCAAAGTGCGGTATCGACTTAGACTTGCAGAGTTGCGCCGGTGGCCTTCAGGACTTTGCTTCGGTGCACATAGATATCAAGGACGCCAAAGGCTCCATGAAAGCGATTCTGCAAGCCTCTTAGTTGGAAAGCTTCAGCATTGGGAATCTGATCCTACAACGCTGACTCCTGCAGCGACCTCAAGTGACAGGGCAACCGTGCCAGTCGAAGATGGCCTGAAGCGCTTCATCCAAAAGCCAAAGGAGAGGGTTGAGCTGTCTTGCTTGATACACTGAAGGCACCACTGCGTGTCCTTTGCCAGGATCCCGATCCGCCAAAAGCCTCCATCGAGAGTAGGGAACTGATTCCCTGATGCGAGTCTGAAGATCACCTTCAAGCCATAGGCCTACTATGGGCCCATAGGCCCGGTGTGTTCAATCTGAGGCGTCCTGACGCTCCAGAGCCGAAGCGGCTTTCCGAAAGCCTATCCGAGGCGGTGAAGTGTTTGTCGCATGGCTCAGGCAATTGCAGCCACACAACAAGCTGAGTTGACAGGTACTTGGGCTTTCAAATGTTTCCTGGTGATTTGTGGCTGGCTCAGACTTGGCACGATGTTGTCATACGCCATGTTGCAGCCGAAAGTGCTTGAGGAATTTTCCTGTCATCGATCTGCTGCGGGATGCACCATCCAAAGCGGGTTAGTAACAAAGGAGGCTTCTCTCGTGTCGATTGGAGGAGGTTGCAAGCATGCGCTTTAGATAATTTCTATGCCTGTATGTACATGTTCAGTATGAGTATGTGTATATGTATATATGTAAGTACATGTTCGTATAAACAGTATATACGCACGCCTGGATGTATGTATGTATATGTCGTGCATGCGACTTTGTGAAATAGCGGGTTGTACACGGCGCGCTGCATTTTCTCTAGCACTATTTCAGCCGATCGGCATCCAGCGGACAATCGGATCACAAACGGAATCGCAGATGGACAGCACGAGTTAGGTTTGCCAAGAATCTTGAGGCTCAAAGAAGGAAGATTGACAGTCCGTCTCTGTGGCAATGACCCTGTCTTGGACACTCGGATGTTCTTTGCTTGCCATGGCAGCAGCTACGAGTTTGAGGGTCAGGTCCC